ATTAGGCAATTTTCTTAGCTCTGTCAGCATCTTTTCATAGTCATTTTCAAAACAGAACAGTTGTCTTTATGAGAAAAGGCTTTATGGAAAAGTACAGGTTCTTCACCAGCTTTAAAAAGCTATTTACTTGGAATAGTGTCAATTAGACAGAGCTAGAACACTTGAAATAATCAATATTATAAAACTGGACATTAAAACTGGTTTAAAACTTTATCTATGATTTCTAATGAAGCCTGAAAATGTACGTTTCAGTACATGCCTGCTGACAAGTTATCAAATTGTGCTTCATACTTGTAGTCAAGAGTATTTTCTGGTAGGTACAGTCATCCTAACTGCAGCTGATTTTCACTCTTGACATCAAAGAAGTGACTATTCTAATGGAGTCTTTGATCTTTACCTTCCTGAAAGTAGCACCACTTTCATTAAATCCTGAGCACACTGCCAAATGTTGATGAGTAGCAGAGTGTATGGGATGACATGTAGAAAATCTATTACCCTTTTGTAAAAATTCCATACATTTTCATGAGAAGTCTTAAAAGCTCTGCCACCATTCAGCAAGAGCATGCTGTTCAGCTGATGGGAGTGCTAATTCTCAGTCTACCTTGTGGTTATTTTGTGCACATGTTGATCACAAGTGTGATGTTTTGAAACTATATTCCATTTGGCAATTCAGTAATTTTATTAAAAATAAGTTTTGTCATTGCAAATTGATGTAGACAGGCACATGCTTTGTTACTGCCTGGCAGCTTGGAGTAGTTCTGCATGTGAATCCTGACAGAGCTTTTGCACTGGTAGGGTTGAAACTCTCTCAAACTGCAAGTCACCTGTTGGATTAGTTAAAAACCAAAAAATCCCCATGTATTTTCAGGTCTTTCTGTATTACTGTTTCTTTCTGTTTAGCTGTGGTTTTGTGACAACTGGGAAAGATTATTTTTTATTAACAAGAACATTACAGGATTGTTCAACACCATGAACACTTTCTGTAGGGTTGTATATACCATAGGGGAAAGGGGAGAAAAGCAATCATTATCATCACAGCTCAAATGATCATTCCACTAATGTCCTCAGTAAATCTATGTGTTAACCTTCAAACACCTTCGAGCAAGACCAGCCTTGTATTCTAATAGCCAATTCTGCCCATTGATCAAATTATTAACATACAAACTAAATTCAGACCTGCTGTAATTGGAAGCAAAACTACCAATAGAAATGGATTTTCCTGGATTTAGGGAAGCACATTTGATTGTTACTTTGCTGAACTCTGTTAATTCAGCCTTTGCTTAGCCCACTGCTAGTATCAGCAAAGTTGCATCTATTTATTACTCTAATCCCTAAATGTAAAACAAACCACCGTTTCTGCATCTGATTTTAGCAAAACTCAACAGTAACCTAAGTACCTGCTCTTACACTGCCTATAACATTTATTTTTGCTAATCAGAAGACTGGGCAGCTAAGTTCAGATGAGATACCTAACCAGCAGGGGCCTTAACGTGAACCAGTCCAAGTCATCAAACAGATTGAGGGGAAGAACAGGTGGCAGTCACAAGGGGAGGTCACAGGGGAGTATACAACTGAGCAGCTGGGCACTTTGTTTGGATTACATGTTTAATTATATTTAAATTTCATCCTCCTTTATTGTTAACTCCCTCTCATATTTTAGCTCTGCAAGAGAAAATGGCAGCAATGCTCACTTTGTGGTTATTGTTACAACACACCTAAGTTATAAGTCTTAAGGAGAGGCTCAGTGCTTGTCTAAGCTTTGATCTCTCTCCCATAGCTGCACTGAATGACTGATGCTGGTCTTTAAATCTTCAGATTCTGTTCTCAAGAATGAATGCATATGAATAACATGATTTACAGAAAGAGAATAAATTTTAAACTATTTGGATAAACAAGACTTCACATGACATTCTTAACAGAATTATCCCATTATCTTAATCCATCTGATGTACAGATTGCTGTATTTAGACAGTTCACTACAAATATTTAGTTTGAATTCTTACACATTTTAGCACAATGTTTTTAGATACCTTTCTGTGTTCTTCCAAAGCCAGAGAAAAACCTAAACATTTTTTTACTAGCACTGTGGACAGTCTTCAACAATATAGCAGAAGAGAGTTAGTTCTCTCCAAATGTATACATGCTTAAGAAGTGTTGACTGAGTCAAAGAGCCCTGCAAAAAGAAAAAAAAAATGAGCCCCAGAAAAAGAAACGAGCCCTTCCAAGTCCCACCCAAAGTGGCACAGAAATGGGACAGATGGCTATACAAACAGCATGAACTCTCCAGTTGCCTTTGAAGATAAAAGCCATCTTTACGTACTTGTGGGGTAGGCACAGTTAGAAGTTGCTTACATCATGGGGGAATGCTTTTTGAGTTTTATGGCATAAGAAATTAAATATGCATTCTAAAAGTAACCTTAATTTATTTTGATGTGCAGATTCCTGGGTAGTAATTTACGGATACTACCGGTTCATAATACTGCTGAAACTGCTAAGTTAATGCTAACTATAGCTAAGGTAAGTCTGGTTGCATGTACTTAAAAATATTAGTTCTTCAGCAGTCTATCAGGCAGGAAAAGCCAAGATCTAGAAAATACTTATTTTTCCCTAATGAAACTTTTTGGGTTATATTGACCCAAATCTATGTAATACATTCAGGGAAGACTGTTACTCAGCTTTAGCTGAGTCTTTAAACTATTGTTAAAGGTAATTTTAAAAGCTTTTAATAGCATCTGTGAGCACAAATTAGATATTTAAAAGCTAATTCAGCTATTATTTACCTCTGTTAAGTTAGGGTGTCTTCATTTGCTACTGCAGAACCAACATGAGATCTAAACATATAATGACTTCAACTTAAAGTAAAAATATCAATCTGAGAACTCTTGTTACTTGTGGATTTTTAATGATACACATACTAGTATATTATTTCTATAGCTTAATTACTATCATTTATCTGTGTATCTGCAGCATACCCTGTATGCATCAACACATTATTAAATCTATTTAGTGAACCTCTTTAAAGAACATTTTTCTATTAAAATTCTTCCTTAGATATTAACTATAACAATATTAGCAGCATTCCATGTACCCAAAGGAGCAGATTGAATAACATGTTGGGAATTGAATATGAGTGTATATGTTGTCTTTTCTTGAAGTGGGGATCTCAAAATAACAAGCATTAACCTATTCAGAGCATTCATCATTTTTTAAGTGTGTAAGCTCCACCTCACTTGTTATATGGCAAAATTGCTAAATACTTATAGCAATGTTGAACATGGTGCTTAAACTTTTGATGGAATCTACTGGTATCAGGCCCAGACTCTTAATACAACAGTAACCTAAAAGCTTTTAAGACGACTGATGCTCCTATAAACCTGAACTCGGTTTTCTACTTGTTCAGAGACTTTGTACCAATTTCAAAAGGAAAGCCCCATAAGGAGAGAGGACAGTACATACCACAAGTCTATCAGGTGCCATTACATCACTTCTAACTGATGCAGTGCAAAGCCAGTTTAATGAGCTCATCTTTTGCCAGAGAATCCCTAGCTGGTATAGGGCCTGAAAAATGAACTTCTTTGCCCAAGGTTAACAGACATGGCCAAGGGAGCAGTACCATCCACCATATTCAGCTCCTGTCAAAATCCTGTGCAGATAATCAGATGCAATGCTGACAGGACTGGTTATTTTAAGACTGGTCTTGCACCTAAAGGGATCACATCACCTCCGTGTACATCATTCCTGAATATCTACTTCAGAAAACATGATTCAGATTTCACTGCTGAATAATTTTATATTTCTACTGTTTGAAAAGTAAGATGTTGAATATTCTATTACTGAAGAATTACTGTGTCTGACTCATTAATAATATTTTTCTTTCCTCTAAGATAACTTCCAAGCCACAAGCAGATGATATTCGTTACAAAATTGCAATGACAAAAGCCCAAATAATAGAAAGCAGTCCAGTTTGGAAGATGCTTCAGCAGTACCAGCTGCTTAGGAACTAATTTAGTATTTGGGGGTTTTATTCATAAATAGAGAGGCTAGATTTTAAACAAAATATAGAATGTTCTTAAAAATAGTTAAATTTCAAAAGACTGCATATACAACTTATACATTTGGAATGAAAATGTATATTAAGTAACTACACAGTGAAAAACAGCATACATTACACCAAATGTGCATCTTAAGGAAAAAAAAGTGGTTTAACTACGCTATAGAAAAGCCATCCTTATTTTTAACTTGATTCTTAATTTACAAGCTTATCTGTCAAGACTAATTTCCAAAAAATATTTAATATATCTTAAGGGAAAATTAATACTTAAAAGATAAGGATGATCAAACAATTCCAAAATACAGTTTTCCCATGCATTACCAGCTACATGTATGAAATCTTATACAATGTGTTTTTAAACACAGTGTTATCTGTTGTTACTCAGTTTTAACATCAAAATTGGTGGGTTTTTCTTTAAGTCTGGTTTCATTTCCATTAGTATTTCTATTATCTATAGCTTAAAGTCCTGTTTATAACTATAGAAACTTGTCTGTCAACATTAAAAAGTGCTAATAAAAATACTTTGTGCTTAAACAGTGTTTTTTAATTAATGGCTCTCCAGTCACTTTATTAAGATCTTGGTCATTCACAACACCAGTCTGCAAAGCTATTATCTAACAAATATTGGAAATTAACAGAAAAATAAATGCACAACCATACCTCCTTGCCACAGCATACAAACAAAAAAACCCTTGTTTTTAGTTTCTAAACTTGAGAAGAAGCATTAGGTTCTGAAGAGGGGTACTTCAGTAAGTAGGCCGTCTCTGTGAATCCCATACAACTATAGCAAGAGAAAATAAACACAGCAGCGAGACATACAAAGAGGAGCATTTACGATTCTTCTACAGGGCACTCTTAAGTTGCTCTTCTTTAGAGGCTGGGAGCCTCCTTTTCAACTTAAGACTTATAGTCAAAATGATCTTATAAGAAGTGTGTTAATTCAAGTACTTCAGCTGACACAACTATTTTCATCTGTTACAGCTTTTATTTTCGCTTCAATGACTTCTTCTACTCGAGCTAGAACACTTTCTATTAAATCAAATGTGAAGAGAGCCGAGTGTAAAACCTGAAATGACAAAAGAAATTAATGGGGTTTTTATTAGAATAATATTTTTTTTTAACCCATTGTACATGTATGTTTGTCTCCAGACTGAAAATAAAATTTCAGTATTTCTTAATAACTTTTAAGGAAATGCAAAATTACCTGAAGCTGCATTTCGGTAGTCATGGGAGGCATCTTTTCCCCACCAACAGTTACAGAACAAGCTGTGTTAGAACTGTGTGCCTCTGTAGAAGAAAATAACCAACCAGAGATCAGGCTGCTGTTTCACATAACTTTTAGAACAAGAAGAATGTTTAATACATTAGCATTTCTAGACAGTAATTGCAAAACCCACAAACCTATGGATTGACCAAACAGGACAGCAGGCACTGAACCTTAAGAGGAAGGCAGGTTGAGCTGGATGCTACCTCTAAACTCTACAGCATGTATGACTGACTACATTACTGACCAGGCAGTATCTGTAGCTCAGAACAATTGTATATAGCTAAAATGCTCCTTAAAAGGGGGAGGGGGGAGAGAAATCTAGTAATTTTAAATTATTTTTAGTATTTCCACATCCAGAGAGATAATAGAATGTTCTTTAGCTGGACTTAATGAATTCAAACATGAAAGACATTTTATTAAGAAGAGGCTGCAGGCCTCTCTGTTGCAGGCAGATTACTTGCAGCAAGTCTGAAAACTGAGGAGAAAATCTCTTACATTCAGGCCACACATTTGAAATTCAATATAGTGCTTACAAATATTATACATCAGGGAAAAAGGCTAAATTATTTACTCTGATGAGTTAGATGTTCTCTCCTGAACTCCAACTGCTTTATGTTTTGTCAAAGCACAGAGAAACTAAGAGCAACTTACAGAAAAAGCTTCCCAAGTCTTTTCAAATTGTTCCCTTTAGAAAGATACACACAGGTTGAAATGCACTTCTCTAGCTCATATAGTTTACAGCAACAGAAGAGGATAAGACTAGAGTCAAAAAGCCATACTGACATTTTTTGTAGCAGAATCAAGTTCCTTGGGCTGTCTGAATTATACTGGAGACCATAAAGGAACAGAGGATCTGACCATACACAGAGTTGCCTTACAGCAGCTAGAGCTCCTATGGCCTGGGGAATGGGGCTGCTTAACCCACAGCAGCATCTGATTCAGTGTGTCATATTTAAAAAAAAAAAATTACAATAAAAATCCAGCATGTAATCCTTCAGGTTTTAAGAGAGCACATATTTGCTGTGGGAATTATTTCTTCTCTTGTTAACCTCCCCACACCTACTATAAGACCTAGGGCTTCACATTCAGAGAGAGACTTAGATGCTCCTGTCTAACTGTAAAATCAAAAGTACAAATGTAGAACAAATTTTGAAGATCTTCATGTGACATTTCTATTAGGTTTCTCTAAGGTTTACAGATGTGATGAGAAATAGAAGAGTTCAGATTTTTTTTTACCAATTATGAAAATTATTAATATAAAATGCAGCAAACACTGAATTATTATTTGAAATCTGGAATAGTGTCAACAGTTAAAAAAATATTATCTGTGCAGCACTCACCAACTGTCTGCTTCCACAGGACTTCCAAAGTTTCTAAATATAAACAAAGCTTAAGAAAAAAAGAAAACTACTAACCTTTTCTGTTCTCTTTCTTATTCTTGATTTCTGCTTCATAGTGAGCTTTTGACATATTGAGTCCTACATGCAGTGGTTTTAAAAAATTTTGCTGAATCTTGCCAAGTGTGGTCCATACACCAGTCTACTCAAACAGAACAAAGCGGGTTACTATCAGTTTTAACAGAGCATTGCAATGCCAGGTTTTTGAGCATGAGTTTTTGGAAAAGTCTTTCCAACATACACTTCTGTGCTGGGAGGAAAAAGAAGAAAAGGATTTAGGCTCATTCATTAAGCATGAATAGCATCACAACAGAATTTTTTCTCTGCTTCCTCTCTGCTACATTTTCAGTGTTATTTGTTAAGAAGTGGCAGATTTGGAGTAGGGGGAAAAAAAAAAAAAAGATATTAGTATCTAGGCTGGTAAGTACAGCAATGGAAACACATTTGTAACTTGTTCTTGTAAGCAAAGCTGAAAGGCTCTTGGTATGTCAGATGGGGAGTACTAGCCACTTTCTCAGGCTAGAAACTCTACAGTGAGTAAGCAATAGTTGCAGATTCCTCTAAGATAATTCAGCAGCAAAATGGCACAAATATTTAAATTCATGTGTCTGAATTAACGCTGTTTTGCAATGCCAAATGAAAGCTCTGATAAATGTCATGCTTCCCAAATATACAAGGGTCTTGTCTATATTGCATTCAGTTTAAGAAGCACTGTAGAATGCTACTAGTTATGCTACCACCCCATCCTTAGGCACAGGATCCAGTGACTCATTAACTTCTCCCCAATTTGGCACAAGTGAAAGAAGGAGTTTACAACACTGGCTCTCAGGAAGCAACAGATACAAGGAAAAGATGCTCAAAAGCAAGACTGTTCAAGGTTATACAGCACAAGAGGAAAACTTGTATGCCTTGGCACCTAATAAACTTGGAGTTACAAAACTGCTGGAGAAGGAAACAAATACAAAGCAGTCTTTGTGTCTTTAAATATAGGAGCCATTTATACAAGCCCTGTCTTCAGGCAGTATCCTCAAAGGGCAGAGAAAGGACGATAAAAATAAGACTTCTCAATGTTAAATAGGATTGTTGATTACAGTGGAAAAGTCAGCAAATTTTAATGCTACATGAAACAAAGTTAACTAGTCAAATCAGAAAACTGGTAATTACTTCCACCAGAATAGGGCTAAAAATTAAGAAATAACTCCAGAAAAATCCTAATTTTAAAACTTGATTAATGGAAGTGCTTGTCACACAGCAATCAAAACATCTGAACTGACATAAATGGAAGCATTTTCTTTCTGCCTCACTTGCACTATATGAAGTCAAGGAGAACTGGCAGGGCTTAAATTTAAAGGTAAAACTTCAGAAGAGGTGATGCTATTTTCTCCTCAAACTGGAGGGGCATTCTTTATGCCAGGTAATAGCCAGCACTGTTACAGGAATTGTGTGCTACTACGTATAAATTTTACTACTTATAAAAGAGCAATACTGTCTTTCCTTACAAAGCTATGCATTTACATGAAATTGGGTGGACTGTAATGAGCACTTAAGTAGTAATCTCCCCATAAATCTGAGAAACTGATATAGTCTATCAATACTAATTACATAACAGTAAATTAGAAAGGCACCAATTGAAAGCTATTTTTACTATTCATTTTCATTACCATTTTTGTAATCAGTGCAAGTTATATTATTATTCTACTTAGCTAATAACATCATTAGGTACTTACAAAGCTTGTATTCATAGATCTCAAAAGGGCTCTAAAAAGATCAGAACTTTTTTTGTATTTCAAGAAAACAAAAGACTAAAGACTATTACTCCAAATCATAAAGAAAGCTGAGTACTCAGAACACATTTCCATTAACTGCAGGTGGACAGGTCTGACTGTACATGAAACCAGCAGATCCATCATAATACACCGCACTAGAAGCAGCTGAACAACAAATACAGTTGGCACTGATCTACCCCTAACAATTGTTGCTGACAGCTCCAGACAGCAAAGAGCAACACAAAGCAGAGAAGAAAAGGTGGGGATTACAACTAAAGCTGTAAAATCCTGCTTTAAACTGAGGCAGCATATCATATGGGTAAAAGACATAAGGGCAGTTTCAAATTTTGAAATATGCTGCAAAGTTTAAATATGCAGAGTACTTCTGGAATATATACATTCAAACATCCACGCACAGGAGAAATGAAGGTCAAGAGGCATACCTGTAATAAACCCACAGGTAAAACACAGTGGTGGGCAGTTTAGGCTGGCAAGCTACATTTGTGCATAAAACATTCTAGGCTGTGTCTGGTGAAGCAACACAGCAGAAAATTGGAGAGGTCTGGCCGTGCCTTTTGTTACTTCAGCAGGTGGATCTTGCAAACAGGAATTTTTTTCATGCTATTACCTAGAGAAGCTTTTAACATGTGCCTATGATGCAGCTGCACAGTTGTAAATACATTAATACTGTTTTGCACAGCTAAAACTAGTATTATTGTTAAATACTTTGAGAAATCTTAATATAATTAGCTTTTAGCATATCACACAAAATGTATTTTGCCTAAAGACTAATGAAGTGGATCTCCTGAACTGCTAAGTTTGCATTATTATTACAAAGAAATCCACTTGGATACATGAAAGATTCCAACTAACAAGGCTAAAAAATATTTTTTCTCACAGAAATATTTGATAGAGATGTTCTTTTATGGTGACAAACTTTACAATTATGGACCTATGCCACAGTTCATCAGGCAGAGAAAAATGATTAGCTTTTTTACCATAACAGTTAAGTATGAATGCAATGAAATACCATTGGAATAAAATAACACATCACATATCTCCTAATGTAGTTAACAAAAACATCCCTTCTGGATTACTGACCACTGCAAAGAAAAATGCAGTTTTTGAATCCAGGATAACACTGTTCACATGAATCCAACTCTCAGCTTTAGCTAATCAATCATTTTCAAATCTACTAGTACTTACTTGATTATCACTTTCACAATCCTTAATGACTAAGTATCTTAGTAGATTTAGTGATGCCATAATCCTGTGAATTAAAAATACACTATTACTTAGCACACAGATTTATAATACAGGGATAATAATTTATGTTGTCCATTAGCCAGACATCCTAAAAATATACATTTGTCCAAAATACAACCACTCATCTGTTGAGCAAGATAGCTGACTCTAGAGCAAAGTGCACAGCAATGTCCACGTTACAACAGCTGACACTTTGCAAGTAAGATTAAAACTGTCAGCAAACTGGAGAAGGCTGGTGACTGAG